CCTCAGGCTCAATTGCTTCTTCGAACGACATGCCTGCTGTGTTGCAGATTGCTAAAACCGGCGTCGCTGATCTCTCCGGCGCCTGGCATCGCAGCACGGCTGGAGCTGTTGCGCATCGCAGTTGCGAGACAGAACAAAACGATAACAGTACATCATACACCTAAAAAACCGATGAGCTTTGCAAGCAAGATAGGCGGATAATCATCCTTTCCAAATTATCAATGGGTGAGGAAGGGGCGGGGCGGGGACGAAAGGGGAGAAAAGATTTAGAAAGGAAGGCCAATAAGCAATGCAAAATAATCTTATTTTATTGATTTCTCAGCCTTTTCATTTCTTTTTCAAGAAAATTAGCTTTTCTGCCCCGAAAGCAACAGGCTGCAAGTCACTGACTGACGCCATCTTGCCAACTCCACATTTTACGAACCGCAACAAGTTTGGCTCTCCGATTTCAAAGTTTCGAAGAGAGGGTGCAACGCGACCCGATACTTTTCCAGATGTTTACTTTCTCCATGATCTTATCATCTGCTGGCTCACAACTCTCCTCCAAAGATTATCAAGCTAGCTGCCAATAATCAGAGTCAAGCCGGAAGGAAAAATTCATCAAAAAATCAGAATATCGCTGCACGGAATTCAAAAATTTAATTCTTATAAGTAGTTTTAGGACTTCCACCGCAACTATCTCACAATTTCATAACACTCACAGGACTATCGAAAGGATGCGTATTTGCTGAAATGGGGTCGGAAAACGTGTGGAAAGCAAAAAAGACCTCACTGTTCAGTGTGTTTTCTAGTCCACAATCATTTTAAACGGAGACGGGAATACAAGAAACAAGTGAAAAAAGCACCGTTCTTTGCTGGCAGGGACAAGGGGAAGGTGAAGTATGCAGAAAGCACTAGGCAGCAAAAATAGGCAAGGTTGAGCGATAGCGAGAGGTATTAGTATAGCGAGAGGTATTAGTAAATCAATTAGTATTTGAAGCAAAATTTAACAAACTTTCAGCGACTCTTCAGTGCGCGGATCAATCTGCACAAGGAGATTGGCG